AAAAATGACTTCTTAGCAATTTGGAACAAAGAGAAGCTTGCTTTTTACCACCAAATTGCACAGCGATCAAGTGAATAAATCAAGGTGTCCTTGGTACGAAATGGATCATAATCATTGCTTGCACAAATCATTAGCAGTACTAAAATAATAATAATAATACAGTCATGTTACAGATGACAATATCTGATAGGGAACAGTCACAGTTGTGATTAGTGCAACTCAGTGCCAAATGAATGATCAGGGATCAATTCCAGTGCCAGAAAGCTCCAGCAGCAATAAGCAGGAAATATGATGAGCCTCTACTGCAGAGGAAACCTTTTGTAAGCAGCAGATTTTGCAGCTGGTTTACATTGACCTTAGATTCCAAGGAGTTCTTTGTTGCTCCTCTGAGGCAGAGAAAGACAGGGTACAGGGTGAATATGATCTTTTAAGGACACTGCTATGTCCTCACTTTACCCCTCTGAAAAAAGAAAAAAAAAAAAGAAAAAAAAAAAGAAGTTGATCGGAGTTTTTGAATGAACACTGGAAGATTTTTTCAGAACACTACACTGATGACTGAAATAACTCTTTAATATCAAATGAAACTTTTACAGCATTGATGGATATAGAAACACTAAACATTGTGAAATACAATATGATTTAGTACAATGCAGTCAATAAATCCTGTCACACAGATACATGCACTTTCTTTATGAAGCTTTGGATAAAAGAAATCCGCAGTGAAAAGGTGAAGAGTAGCAACGAAAATCCAGATGTGGAGATAAAGCTATCTAAAGACAGGTGAACATTGGTGAAGGAGAATACATTGTTCTGTATTTAAGAAGAAAGACAGACAAATGGTATAACCTTTGAAGTCTGGCACACTCTTCCAGGGATGGTAAGATTTTGCTTGAGTAGCCCTCTTGGACTGATCAAGGATTGGCTCTGGAATTTGACCGCAGCAGAGAAGTAGCCTTGGTAAAATAAGAATTGTCTGAATCATTGCCTTCTTTCTAACAAAGCACACCTTACTTTCACAAAGGAGCTGGCAGCAATGTACTTACTAAAGATAATGTGCCCCTACCCTTTGAAGAATATTACTTAATTATTTAAATAGTGTTGTCAATGAAAGACTCATGTCTGTCTGTGCTTTAGAACAAGATGAAGAGGGCTAGTGAAAACTATTCCTGCCCGACTAGTGCAAAAAAAAGCTTTGAGCTGTGAGAGAGATATTATCTGCTACTGATCCCACATGCTTGGACACTTAATCAGCATTGTCATGGGTAAAAAAGGCAGGACATTTGGGCTTTCCTCCAGTACTTCAATATGAGTCTTCACCTTTCTATTTGTACTGTAACATGAGCAAGAGATTATTCCTGCTTCATATCATTATAGGAAGGGTGACCTCACGCTATGGATTATGCACAATGGCCATGATATCTTACGGAATCTGAGATATGTTTACTTGTTCTTGTGCCAGTAACATGGAATGAACAGCACTGTGAATATCACTGATGCCTTAAAGGAAAGCCAACAGCTAAGTAGACCAGTGCAGTATGTATAGTTGTCAAGGATAGACATATGCCTACTCTAAGAACTTTTCCTGGACAACAGTCAAGCCCTTGTTTCTGCTTCCACATAGTGATAGTGTATGAATCTCTGAACCCTCTAACCAGTAATACGTTTCTCCATCATTTTTGAAATTTCACAAATCATTTGTCAGAAGCAGCTCAGATTCAAAATATTGGGAATGGATTTGCAAGAGAGTGATTAGCAGACACTCTCTAGATAGCTGAGTCAGTCAGGTCTGTGCAATAAACAGTGCAATTATTCATCATTTATCAACAACTTGTTTAATTTACCCTCAGTGGAAAATACAAAAATTCCATATTTAAAAACAAAACAAAACCATTCAACATACGTTATATGCATTTCTTCAATGTACATCAAAATTTAGAGAACAGCTGGTTATGCCAGCTTCCATATTCATTTTTCTCCTTATTCCACATCTTACTTGTGAACTGTCACATTGTGTGACTCCTTTCAGCAGGAACAGTCAGCAACCTGGGGAGGGATGTTTTATAAGAGCAGGCAGTGACAGGATGAGGGGAAATGGCTTTAAACTGGAAGAGGATAGATTTAGACTAGATATCAGGAAGAAATTCTTTACTGTGGGAGTGGTGAGACACTGCAACAGGTTGCACAGTGAGGCTGTGGATGCTCCCTCCCTGGAAGTGTTCAAAGCCAGCTGGATGGAGCTGTGAGCAACCTGGTCTAGAGGGAGGTGTACCTGCATATAGCAGAGGTTGGAACTAGATGATCTTAGAGGTCCCTTCCAACACAAACCATTCTATGATTCTACGATTCTACGATTCTACGATCTATTTTCCTGAGCTGGATGTGTCTGTGGAGGAGAACTGTCATCAGGTATTTTTTGAGGCAAGTCAGTTCAAAAGCAGATCATCCAAGGAATTTTTTTTTCTTTCTTTTTTTTTTTTTTTTTTTTGCAGATGCTTCCAATCCACTTCCCAGACACAGCTTAGCTCTTAATGAACACTCACAGAACGGCTTGGGTGGGAAGAGACCTTAAAGATTACCCAGCTGCAACCCTCTGCCATGGGAAGGGCTGCCACCCAACAGATCAGGCTGCCCAAGAACTCTCCTGAAGGTCTTCCTTAGTCAAATCACATCAAACCTGTTTTATGCCTAAAGTTTTCTTAATGCTCTAGTTCTTTTTTGTACTGTTTCTGGGATGTTTGCATACACACTCAAATATCAATATTCAATGAAAAGCAACTGATTCCTGATTGACTGCACCTGTGTTTTCTGTTTTTGCCTTAGCTGTTCCCCAGAACTCTTTTTTTAAAAAGATGTTTTTAAAACAGGATGGTTATGTCTTTGAAGGACGGTGACTTTAGCCCTCCTCCTGCTATTACTGTGACCACTTGTACCTGCTCTTCCATTGAACTTTGAGGATTTTATTTTCTATCTCATCTTCTGTAAACTAACATTAGATAGCAATGGATATAGGCATAGAGTTCCCATTTCCCTGTGAAAAAGATGGGGGTCAGGGTTAAGGTTATATGTCTGAACATATTTTACCACATCGTATTAAGCCTGACATTAGTTGATCTGAAGGACATGAGGTGATGGTCTGGACTAGATCACCCCAGTAGTCTTTTACAATCTTAATGATTCTGTGATTAGAGCTCCATTTTTAAAATGTGTTTCTGTACATTATGAACCTAGAGACTGCAGATTTCTGGATTTTTTAGTGATAAATGTAGACATGCTTGAAAATTACATTTACTGTAAGTTAAACTTCTTATGAGACTTCATGTGTTTTTTTCTTGAAAGTGTTGTAATTACACGGGTAACGCTTTCAAGACTAGTTCTAATTTAGAGATGCTATAACTGCAGCTTTAGAGAACATATAATTTGCTTAAATTATGTACCCAGAGGAAAAAAAAAAAAAGGGAGGATTATTATTGGAAAAAATACATTGGAAAAAAAAAAAACAACACCATAGGCTATAAAGGTTTGTGGGTACTATGGAAACTTCACTGGGAAGCCTAAGAAGTTCCAGGCAGATAAGAAACAGAGAAAATGCTCACAGTGCAAAGAAGTCTGACGTCAGGAAGCACAACAATTAATGCTACCCTGCCCTCTTGTGTTCCTGTCTGAGGCGGCTGCCTGTACCCTGCACATCTCCCAGCTCACGTCCCTTCCTCACGCTACAAACACGTTGCTAAACCCAATGGCACGGCACCTTGACAGCAGGGCAGTTGGAGGATCGCAGGAAGCGGTACAGCTGAAGGCCGAAGTTTGAAGGGGCTGTATTAGATGGAAACACAATCAAAAGCACGCACACATCTTCAATATGTGTCATCAGTTGCAGTGCTGTGCGGGGGGGATGGGATTTAAGGCTTCACTCTGCAACGAGACTGAAGCTGGTAACTACGTGTTAGAGTGCCATAAAAACAGAGGGCCCATTCTGGAGAAAGCAGAACCCAAATCTGAGCATTTGCCAGCTCAAACCCTTCATTTTGGCATTACTTTGATTCTTGTTTTCACTGTTTTATTTATAACCCCAGAGGATAACCAGGGGTGAATCTGGCCTGACACCTGCACCTGAAATAAAGAAAAAGGACAGCTTTCACTGCAAGTGATAGCCAACAACAATACTTTCACATGCAGAGGTCCAAAAGCAACAAAACTGGTTTAAAAACAACAAACTCTTCTTTGTGGCGTCTGAAAGGAGCCAAACCCCCACAAGGAGCAAAAACTCCGAGGGGCAGACGACGAACGCGAGCTGCCACGATGACGTCACGCCCCACTCCGTGACGCCACACTGCCGGGGCCGCACGGGAGCCCCGCAGGAGGGCACAGCCGCTCCGGTTTGGCGGCGGTACCCGAACAGGAGGCGGCTCTGCCCAGCACGGTGCCCGCATTCCGCTCGCAGTTCGGTATCCCGCTCCGTCGGTGCTGACGCTCGCGGCGTTCGCCGAGCGGCCCTTCCGACAGCGCCTTGTAGAAACCAAACAAAACGATTACGAAACGCACAGCGCTGTCCGCCTCTGACATTCACCCTTCTCTGCCCGGCCGCCTCGGAGCCGCCCATCCCTGTCCCCGCGACGGCCAGTGAAGTTACCGAGGTTGCTGGCTGAACTTCGGGCCGAAAGCGGCGGCTCTCGGGGTGGCGGACAGGGAGCTCCCGTCAGCGGCCCCCGCCGCGCCGCGTACGGCCGCCTCGCCCTCTAGCGGGGCAGAGCGGCGGCGCCGGCGGCTGGGCGTGCCTTCCCCGCTCCCTCACCCGCCCGCCCGCCGGGGGGACCGCGAGTCAGTCCGGGAGCCGAGCGGAGTGGGGCCGGCGGCGGCAGCGGGCGGGTGGGGAGGTGCCGGGATCGCAGTTCCCCTCGGGGGAGGCGGCCGGAGGGGACGGCGCGGGAGAGCGGAGCTGCCCGAGCAGCCATCCGCACCGCTCTCTCCGCGCCTCCGCCGGCGAAGAGAGTCCGAGGGGAGCCGGGGGCCGCGGGGTAGCCAGCGGGGGGTCCGGCTCCCCCTCCCAGCCGACGGGAGGGGGGCGAAGAGGGCCGTCTCCCACTTTGGCGAACACTTTGGCACTTTGCTGGACCCGGAGCAGGAAGGGGTGGAAATATGGGGAAAGTTGGAAGTTGCCTGGTGACTTTGGCCGGACTTTTGCTGGCGGCGGGAGCGCAGACGTTTACAGGTAAGGGGCCGCCTCGCCTGCACCGCGGCTCCGGAGCCGGCGGGGCTTCGCCTCGAGTTCTTTTTTCTCTCCGTCTTTCCGGCGGGGCTGATACTGGAGTTGGTGGGAGAGAGAGAGTCCCCGAGGGAGGCGGGCGGGATGCCGCGGCCGGGCCGAGCCCCAGCTCCCTGCCGCCGGCTGCCCGGAGTTCCCCGTTGCCCCGTACGGGAGCGGAGGGGCTCCGCTGCCCCCGGTTCTGGGCGTGAGCAGCGATACTTTGCTCTCGGCGTGCAGACGGTTAACGGCGTGTTCGGACCCCCCTGGCTGCTCCCCGTCCTGTTTCCGTGCTGAGGAAACCCGTACTTTTAGACGGGAATGCGGGTTGTGAAATAGTTCAGCGCGCTCCGTTGCAGGGAGTCACTTTGGGGCTTTCTGTTTTGCTTCTCGCACGAAGTTAGCGCGGCTAACAGCAATGGGGGACATCTGGTGTCGGGCTTAGGCTCCGACCCGCTCGGTAGGCTCTGTGCGTCCTGCAGCCCGGCTGCCGAGCGTCGTGTTTGCAGTGCTCTGCGCTGCAGATACCGTGGGTGCTCCTAAACTTTGCTGAAAAACTACCGAATTCCGGTTTTATGTCAGCTTCCGTGAACGTTCTGTGTACGCGGCTGCGTTTCCCTTAGATTATCTTCGGTGTTATTACCGCGGATGAGAAAGAGGGTTCCTGAGCGGGAGGATGCTTTGCACCGAGGTGATACAGAAGGATGATGAAAGCTTTCCCTAACACCCGTGCTAGGTTGAAGCTATGCTCCGCAACTGTTTATGAAGCTGAACTCATGCACATTAGCCCTATAACTCCTTGATATTGGGAATCTGGTGTCCAGGCTTCAGGGAGAGCTCTCGCTTCATTCTGATGAATCCCAAACTCACTGCTGCCCTGCACCAACTGTCGGGTTTCTTGCTTAAAGTTGGGCTGGAACAGCACTTCTGAAGTGACTTACGTATGTGGTACCCTGATGCTCTGCTACAGTCAGCACATAAGTGCCATTCATATATTCACTTCCATAGCTGCACGCTGTGGCAGCAAACACACAGTGACAGAAAGCACAAATGGTTCAGTGATGTCCTTAAGTGGATTTAATGACCTGTGCATAGGCTTGTGGCAAAAGGGGCGATTCCACGGCTTCCAGTGCACTGACTGAGGGATGCTGCTATCCACGCACCTCAGTGGGGCTGTGGAGGATGTTACAAGGACAGGATCTGGTCTGCCCTCTCCCTGTGTGTGTGCATATGTACCTGTATGTGAAACACTGAATGGAAAGCATTAATGATGGGGCAGGTACCATTTGTTCTTTTTTTAATATTGACTGTTGGCACTCCATTTTTGCACTTCCCCTTTTGAAGTCTGTGCCTGGGAGTCGGTTTTGCTTAGGAGGAAAAAAAATGCTGTTGCTTTTGTTGAAAGCGTGATGCATCAGTGTCATAGAAATTAAATCATACAAAATTCCTCTCTCGGTGCTTGCCGTCCCCTGTTGCTGATGGGAGTTACATGAATAACCTCTAAAAGGTTTAAAAAACAAATGAAGCAATAAGAAAAGAAAACCAACTTGATGGCTGTTTGAAGCAAAGAATATCAGCGGGTGCGTTACGAAGTCTATGGCGTTTCTCGTTCTGTTTTTGTTTTTACCTTTTCCTAAAGTAATTGATCTATTTGGCAGAGATTAGTTCTAATGTTACCTTCAGTCATTGTTTTATTTGCATTTCTTATTTAGAAAACAATCATACCGAAAGATCAGATCTTGGCTTTCTAAGGCCTGGAAGCTTTCAAGTAATCTTTGGAAAGCAGCTTAACAGTTAATAACAATGAGATTTTCTCTGAGTCCTTAACTAAGGAACTTAAAATTCTGCACTCATTGGTTCCAGAAGCAAATGGTTTCAAGAATTTGGATTCGAGACATGTTGCTGAAAATGTATTATATGGACAGTGCTTATTTTAAGAAGTAGCTGGGGTCTTGCTGCAAAGCAAATTGCTTGTTCCTGAGAAACGCTTGCATACCTGGGTTGGCTGATTTCTGTTTATAGTTTTAGCGTAAATATGACAAAGTGAGGCCGCGGGAAGGCTCACAGTGCAGAGTTCCTGGATCGTGTGATGTTGCTGTCACACAAAGTACCACCTGGCTATGCGGTGCTCCTTCTCCTCCTCCCCCGTGGGTTCTGCAGCTCAGGGGGAGCGGTTCATCCCTGTAGGGGATCTCTGTCAAACTAAAGATGTGGCAAGTGAGAAGGGACATTGCGTGCCTAAATATTAGATCTTCCATAAAATGTAGAGTCTGGATGTAATGAGTTCTGTCAAACACCAGAATGGGTGGCTGAAATTGAAGGCAGGAAGATGTGTAATAGAATGCAGAAACTGTGCTTTTATAAGGGCATCATTTTCGGGTGGATTTACATTTGCACACAGCCTGAATTCTGAAATTGGTGTTTCTTGCTTATAACCCGACTGACCCAGAGAGGCCTGTTATTAGAGCACACTGTTCTCTTTTGCTGCAAAAAGCAGCAAGGATGTTTATTATCACATTCATTTTATGGTACTTTTGTTGAAAGTTTTCCTTGTCTGAGAGGGGATGGGCCCTGTTGCAGTGCTCAAGAGAGATGGGTGGCATAGAAATGCTCCTGGGGAGGCTCTTCCCAAGTAACTTTGTGCCAGCACAGGAGGCAGCTGGGGAGGAGAATGAGAGGGAGAGAAGGTGCTGCACAGAACTGGAAACTGCTTCGGTTAGGGACTGGTAAAGTTTTTATGTAGAGCACAGCAGTCCCCAGCTGTTTCATGGAAGAAAAATACAAACCTTGTGCTCTAAATAGATGCTGTGCCTTCACGTTCATCTGTTTCAGTTTTGGGTGTAGGCACTCTTGAAAACAAGAATCACATTTTCCAAAAACAGACATAAGGAAGAAATGTAACATGCTGAAACTTCCTGAACACCAGCATCGTCACAGTGCTTGCAAAGAGGGAGGATGGAAAGAAAGAAAGAAGAGAAATGAAGTCTCTCTAGGTTCAACCACAGCTGAAGGGAAGTTCCTGGCATTCAGAGAAATGTACAGAAAGTAAAAACTTTCTGCTGTAATTAACTTAAAGAGGTGTTTAAAGAGGTTTCTCAGAGTATTCAGGATCTGCGTCTAGAAGCATTTGATAGATACTCTGATTACTTTGCCAACAATGATCTCTACTCGTGTTGTTGTCTTATTTTAACACGTTCTGTGTTTGCTGGTGTTGTTTATTTCACCTGCTCTCCTCCTGTCTGGCAGTGGTTCCCATCCCTGTGCTGTCTGAGGGAAGAAACGCTGGTGAGGATGTGGCGATCTCAGTGCCTGGAGCAGCTGTCAGCCTAGCAGCGCATCTTCAGCTGAAGTGTTAGCATGGGCTTGGCCCTGTGAGCAGGGCGAGCTGTGGGAGAGGGCTTTCAGACCAAGGGCCTCACTGTCAGAGCATTGTGCTGCTCCCGTTTATGCAGGTGAATGATTCGATTTGTGCTCTTCACCCGAGACTAATTGCGTTTAAAATGATCCTGCAAATTAGTGGAAGAATGTGAAGGAATCAGCTTCTAATAGGTCTTTATTTTTCAGACCTTTTTTTTTTTTGATGATTAGAAACAGATGAAATAAACGTTGCGTTTCCCTATAAATTGGGATGTACTCTGGAATTCTTCAAACAGAATGAGGGTCTGGACTTTGGGAGTGTCAAAAAAGAAGCTGGGTGGTGAATCTTGCTTTTTCTATTGTTCTACTGTCAAAAGTTAGTAAAGAAACTACACCAGAAATTAAAAATAAGCCTTCCAGAAGATTACAAGGATGTAATAACATTGAAATATTCCTGTGATGTCTTCTTCAGCCTCACAACTTAGTCGTCATCAGAATCCATGAGGAAAATAAATTAGCATCCAGAAACAATGTAGCAACATATAGCTTATGGAAAATAATCTGTTTAGTGCACACAGAAGTGATGGATTGGCAGCTAGAGAGCAAATCACGAAAGGTGTCGGGGTAAAGCAAGTAAGCTTCTGGTCTCTGTCTCACAAAATCACTTGGGTCTGATCTGAAGAAATGTGGAATATGTTTTTCTCGCTCGTATGCTGAGTGGGTCATTGAGTTTGCCATATCGAGGGGGTTGCTGGTGGCCTGGCCACTTGTGCAGGTTGCTGCTGGGACATGGCTTCATTTTGCATCATTGGGCTCAGCTGGTGGAGATAACAGGCAGAGACCTGTTGGAACACAGCGCTATTGTTGGGTTGGGACCTGAGAGCTGATCCTGAGTTTGATGTGTTGCATTTCGATAGTGATTCTCTTGAGTGGTTCTGAAAATTTCACCGGGAATAAATTGTTTATTAATGTACGAGTGCATCTGAATTACTTTGCTTCTGCTCTGTTTTGGTAGGAAACATTGAAAAGATCCTCTTTATTTCATTTGATTTTGCTGATAATTTCCAAACGTGCATTTTTCATTTAATGTGTATTAAAAGGGATTTCAGGATGCCAGAGACAATTTGGAACATGCAATAATAAATTTAGTAATAAACTTTTTAAAAAGAAATATTACTGTGCCACTTTCCTCTCTTTCCTTCTCTGTGCTCACATATTTATTTCTGCTGTCGCAGCGTAGGAGCACTTCCTGAGTCTGCCTGCTGTGATCTGCTGCTGATCACTAGGTGTAGCTGCATGTCTAAATCCACTTTTCTAAGTGTAAAAAGAGGCTGGGCTGAAAGCTGGGCTTCGAACTTGGGAGGTCTGGGAATTTTTGTCCTCTTAAGAATTCTGATCTGTTGGGTTGTTTGGTTTTGTTTTTTTTTTTTTTTCTCCCCAGTTTGCTTGTAACACAAATGAACTCTTTGTCGTGTGTAAAAATGCTGTTTTCAATATCGTTGTTAGCATTCAGTGGAAGGATGAAAGCAGGCTGTAATAGAACAAACTGCATGGAGTTGCAGAGAAATTGGTAGTACTTTCCTAGTGGTTTATATGGAAGGATTATTGCT